CCCCAGGACCCCCCCCAGGACCCCACCGGGCCACCCCAGCACCCACAGATGCCCCAGGCCCCCCTTTGTACCCCCCGTGTGCCCTCTCGGGGACGCCCCAGGTGCCCCCAGGACCCTCACCTGGATTAGGGGGGGGGTCAGCAGCACCAGGGTCCGGCGCAGCCGCGCGATGGAGCCGTGGCCGAGCCCCCCGACCACGGCCAGGAGGGAATTGAAATTGCGGAGCTCCAGGAGGCTCTGGGGGAGGTGGGAGGGGGGAGATGAGGAGGGGCTGGGGGGCAGCTCTGGGGGGGCGGGACTGTGGGGTGGGGTTATGGGGGTGTCTGTGGGTCAGGGGTCATTCCCGGGGTCGGTCCCGGGGGTCAGGGGTCATTGCCGGGGTCAGTTTTAGGGGTCAGTTCCGGGTCTCACCTGTGCCAGGTGCAGGCACTGCCCCAGCGCCGCCGCGCGCTGCGGGGCCGCCAGGGGGCGCAGGACGCGCAGCTGCACCCAGCGGGAAATTCCATTGGACAGCGCCACCAAGCGGCGGAGAGAGGGAGAGCTCTCGGTGCCCGCGGAGCGCGCGAAGGAGCGAATGTCACCGAGCTGGGGACAGCGGGGACAGCGAGGGGACATCGGGGGGACATTGGGGGACATTGGGGACATTGGGGGTGACGGCAGGCGCTGCCCTGCTGCGTGACGTGGCGGGCGGTGGGTGTCACACAGGTGTGTCACACGCAGGTGTCCCCAGGTGTCACACACAGGATTGTCACACACACAGAGGGGTGTCCCGCGGTGTCCCCCAGGTGTCCCCCAGCTGTCCCCAGCTGTCCCCAGGTATCCCCCAGGTGTTCCCCAGCTGTCCCCAGCTGTCTCCCAGGTGTCCCCCAGGTGTTCCCCAGCTGTCCCCAGGTATCCCCCAGGTGTTCCCCAGCTGTCCCCCAGGTGTCCCCCAGGTGTTCCCCAGCTGTCCCCAGGTGTCCCCAGCTGTCCCCAGGTGTCCCCAGCTGTCCCCAGGTATCCCCCAGGTATCCCCCAGCTGTCCCCAGGTGTCCCCAGCTGTCCCCAGGTATCCCCCAGGTATCCCCCAGCTGTCCCCCAGGTGTCCCCAGCTGTCCCCAGGTATCCCCCAGGTATCCCCCAGCTGTCCCCAGGTCTCCCCCAGGTATCCCCCAGCTGTCCCCAGGTGTCCCCAGCTGTCCCCCAGGTGTCCCCAGCTGTCCCCCAGGTGTCCCCAGGTGTCCCCAGCTGTCCCCCAGCTGTCCCCGAGTGTCCCCCAGGTGTCCCCCAGGTGTCCCCCAGCTGTCCCCCAGGTGTCCCCAGGTGTCTCACTCTCAGCCGGGCGAACCCGCGGTGTTCCAGGTGTGTCAGCAGCAGCGCCAGCTCTGGCGGCTCCAGCGGCTCCAGCAGCATCGAGAACCGCGCGCGGGGGGGGGCCACGACCCCCCCGGGGACCCCCGCGGGGACCCCCCCGGTGCCACCGCCATTGTCACCCTCGGCCTCGTCACCTTCGGCCTCGTCACCTTCCTCGGGGCTGCGCGCGGGGGGGACACGAGTGGGCAAAGGGACAAAGGGACACGACCCCCGCCCCCCCCGTGTCCCCCCCCTCACGTACAGGCTCTCCAGCCCCAGGGGGGTTTCGGGGTCTCCCCCCAGCGCCGCCCCCAATTCCCGCAGCCGCTCCAAAACCTGGGGGTCCCCCGAGAGCTCCCGCGGGAACGCCCGGATCCAGTACCTGGAGGAGGGGGGGAGGGAAAAGGGGGTTCAGGGGGGACCCCACAACTCTGGGGGGGTCCCCAGGGGGGTCCCCAGGGGGGTTTGGGGGTCACTCACCGCACCAAGTGGGCGACCTTGAGGCGCAGGGAGGGACCCTCGGCCGAGCCCCCCGACTCCTGCACCGTGCGGGGGGGTCAAGGAGCCTGCACGGGGGTTTGGGGGGTCCTGGGATTTGGGGGAGTTCGGGGGGGGAGGGCTCGGAGTGTTTGGGG